ATATAGTCTGGGTCCATCATGGGAGAAACTGGGTCCCATGGAAGAGGGATTGGATTGTGTTAGGGATGGACTGGATGGCCCTGTGGTGGTACTGGATGATACGGTGGAGGCACCAAACTGTACTGTGGTGGTGTCGGGTGATGCAGTTAGGGCACCGGGGTATACTGTGGTGGTGTTGGGTGGTACTGCGATTGGGGCACCAGATTATACTATGGTGGTGCCGAATGGTATTGTGAAGGAGTAAGGTCATACCAACGTGACTCAAGATCCTCTTACTACAAGAGTGGCTCAACCTGTGGTAGCGGGGGAGTGTCAGGTAGCTCATTTTTTTTCTCCCGGGCCTACTAGGCAGTAATGAGTCTCTTCAGCATTTCAAATAATCAGTCAACATCCTCTCGAAGTGAACTCTCCTCGGCTGCTCGATTTAGTGGGGGTCTTCCTCTCATCATCTATCTATACCTGCATTTCACAAGAAATGGTTGAGTCATAATTCATTCTTTGGTGTTTTCTAGGATTTTTGTGTAAGGAATGGTCCGAGGAATGCGGCTCTGATACCAACTGTAACGACCTAGAACTTGAAAGAAAGTAAATTATAAATTAAGTACGGAAGAGAAATAATAGTGTTAGGGTTTATATTCTTTACACAATAATTCAAAATGCCTAATAGGGCTACGGGAATAACCTTTCTAAAAGAACAACTAATAATTAAAGAAATAAATGAAGAGTAAATAAACTGAACATCCTATTCGCAACCCTCTTGTAGATTGGGATCTGAATCTTGGTACTCTTGATCTGAAATAGTTAATAAAAAAGTTAGATACACTAGCCCAACAATAATGTCACACTACTCACTGATACAAAAATGAAAGTTGGTAAAAATCATGAAAACAACTAATGGAGCTCTTATTTTAAGTAATTTCATTTATCATAAGTAAAATCATTTATTGTACACTTACCGTAGCGAAATTTCTAAAAACTGACCTATAAAGGCAATGGCACAAACAATCGCATAATATCATGTATAGTTAACCAGAACAACAACCTTTCCTTTTTACCAGCTTACTAGTATCCATGGGGGTTCATAGGGATGTTCTCACTACGCGTGAACCCTTATTCAATATTTCAATTAACCGGCCGTCCCCATACCCCATCCGGTATGAACGTCAAAGTACCAATCCTCCATACCCTGTTCGGTACAAGGGAACATCCACGGTAGGGTTCTCTGTATACCCGGTCTGTCCACCATCTCCCAGGATATCCAGTAGAACTACCATTCATTCACTCACTTAATCAAATAATTTCTCGTTTATATTTAATTTCTACTTCCACAATTTAACTGTAAATCATGCAAAACAAGCAATACATGCATTAAGAAAACACAACTAAATCATCTTACCAACTCCAACATATTATCATGCATTAAAAACTGTAAAATCAATCAAATAGGATAAACAGTGAATAATAACCAGTTCCGCCTCTATTAGTAACATGTGATTAATTATTGAAAAATTTTAAATTGTACAAAATACCACATTCTTCATAATTAAACTTTAATTCCATAACAGAAAATGGGGTGAGGGATTCTTACCCAAATCGGTTTCTGAATACTAAACTTTTGGCTGCGCCAACTGGCGGTCCTCGGGTTTCTTAAATTTTTCTTTGGAGATTAAAACATGCTCTAAATACCTAAAAATACCTCAAAAAACTCAAAATTGGTATTAGAACCCTTTTCGGCTAATTTCGGGATTCCGGCACAGCAGCGTTGCCCTGCTCTGACGACGGCACCACCGCTTACACGGTGATTTTCCTCGGGTTGGCCATTTTTTGATAATTTC